ATGCGTTATTTTGTCATTTCAGAAGCCCGCGGAGAAACTGTGCAACATGGGCCTGCAAGCAACAAGGTCTTTGGTTGACATATATCATGCTCAATTTCATGTATATCAAATCCGAATAAATATTTCTATTATTCCTTGTTATTTTTCATATTGATATAAAATACACAGTACAGCAATATTAAAATGGGAAAAGATTACATAGATGCGATAACTGTTTCAAGTTCAATCTGGAAAAGTTGTGTAATTTGTGTAATTTTCTTTTGGGCATGATGGTTTCCTTTGAAACCTGGCGATATTTAAAATTGAAATGGTTTAAACCTTTGTAATGAAGCACAGTATTTTGTAAATATTAAATTGGACATTAAAAGTCTAATCCACTGAAAGAATATCTAAATTTCAATATTAAGTATAATATAACAATCTTGCAATCTATTCATAAGATTTAAATTTGTTTGTAGCAACATGCATGTCACCCCTCAAAAGAAATGGGGTCATCCCACCTGTCACAACTCAAATGGAATGGAATGGCCCCACCTACCACCCCTCAAATGGAGTGGACTCACCCCACCTGTCACCCCTCAAATGGAATGGAATCGTCCTACCTGGCACCCCTCAAATGAAGTAAACTCGTCCCACCTGTCACCCCTCAAATGAAGTGAACTCGCCCCACCTGTCACCCCTCAAATGGAATGGAATCGTCCTACCTGTCACCCATCAAATGAAGTGAACTCGCCCCACCTGTCACCCCTAAAATGGAGTGAACTCGCCCCATGTGACACCTCTCAAATCGAATGGACTTGTCCCCCCTTTTACCCCATAAATTTGATAGACTCGCCCAAAGACAAGATGTTTTTTTTTCTCTCACTCACATCAATGCAGTCATACGAGTATCATTCATTTCAATTTACAAGCAAAGACCAAATTTTCAATGTATGATTTATTCTATTACATTTTTCATGACAGAAAACCACGAAGATTTACTGAGTGACTCGTGCTCAAATAATAAATAATAATAGAACAGTCTTTGAACAGGACTGGATTCATTAGACATTGAATAGGCCGACAGGAGATATTAACCGTTTGAATTTGACCGGAAATGATAAATTTGAATATTGGCACCTACAGAATTATCTTATGTTAATAACTCGTGCCAATTTTATGAAACTGCTTTGTGTTAATTTCATTTTTTTTTTTATTTACAAAATTTGAAAGCACTTTTCGATTTAATCTGGAGAACAAAAATTGCATTCCAAATAGAGTATAGTATAGTATAGTATAGGTTCTGAAAATCCAGCACATATCAATTTTACTTTAGTTCTGTGTATTTAAGATTGAATCAAAAACGACCCCCAAAAGCACCTTTATTTTCATCAATTGCTTGTCATTCACAAGTGTAAATATAAAGAATAAAAAGTGACTTATACAATGCAGATTATAATAATATGATAAGGTAGTTGATTGGCTAAATAAACAATCTTAAACGAGCTTCAACATCGTGAAAATTGCGTTTTTACTCTCAACTTTGAAATTTGTGATTTCCAAACACTTTGAAAATAACATCATGCCATTTTAAACACTTTAATAATTGCACTACTGCATAATGAGATGAATTTAAAAAGAAGCTGGATTGGTTCCAAATAGAATGATGTACATAGCATGCCCTAAGGTATAATTTAAATAATATCATGATCAGTCTATATATATATATATATATATATATATATATATATATATATATATATATATATATATATATATATATATATATATAAACAAAAAGGATCGATTTCTAAGTATAATTTCTAAAGGAAACACGATCGATCTAAAGTGCATCGTTTCAGTATGTTAAAATGTGTTTAAAAATCGCAGAGAGAGAGAGAGAGAGAGACCATGTACAATTTTCAACATATAGCATCTGCGGTGCGAATGGATCTGGATCTTCGGCAGATTTTAAAATACGTCTCGGAGACCAGGAAAGCTTTAGTCAGGCGCACGTGCACTCTGCAGGATCTCGGCAAAGGTGTTTGCAGTTCTGAAATATCAAAATAACATTTAAATGGCGATATTTCAATCTCCGAAAGCAGAGAATCCGAATGTAGGTTGGCGATTTTATCTTAAAATAAAGGTCTTAGCTTTTTAATTCGATTAAAGCTTTGAGTTGCCTATGCTTACACATGGCAACGAAAAAATATAAACGCCGATATTTTATATTTTCGAGGTTTTTTCACCGTTTTAAATCAGCACAAAGATAGATGTATTATTGAATAATTAGATAAAGGCAAACTCATTTTTGGTATCTGGATGATAATAAAGGGTTACAAAGCTTTAGAGTATAGCCGCCTAACATACACAAACAAGTCATCGTGAAAAACTTAAATAGTTTTCTCTCGTTAATGTTCCATTTCCTTTTTTAAAATACTGGTAAAACTAAATGCACTGTTATACTGATCAGTTTGTAATGTAAGCATCTGAGAAGGTTTACACTAATATATCAAGTACATGTACAATGGAAGTGTTTAAAATACGAAATGTGTTCAGGTGACCTAATTACGTACAGTGAATGACATTGAAGTGACAGCATCTGAGCAAAAAAATAAACTTTCTTCATATTATATTTCTGTTTCTACTGGCAGCACGTGCTTTTCATGATATTTAAAGATATCGCTATGCAACTTTTCTCAAATCCAGTCAACTACTCAGGCCAACTTAAAGTTTAAAACGAGTAAAATAATAGGAAATTATTATCTGACACTGAAAGGAGTTTGAACTCGTAAAAACATGAAAAGTTTTTACTCACATGAAAAATTTGTTACAATTCTCGAAGCTGAATGAAAATTCCGGCTCTGCGACTTCATCACACAGATCAGCGTCCTGTCCTTACAGTGTGCAGCTGTCAAGTGACCAGTCAAGTAGATACGAGTAGTGCGCACTGCGTTGAGCGGCTTTCTGTTATGCAAATTACAACGGGTTCGACACATTTTGATTGAGGGGTTGCTATTGAAATCATTTTCATTTGAATTATAGTCTGGTTTGTTTGAAGGCACAATAAGTTTCCATCTCTAAAGAGGATTAGACAGGGTCTAATTTCAAGAGGGGAATATTGGTGTGATATTTTTTTCAGAAACCGAAAAGGGGGGGGGGGGTCAGTCTCTCTCTCTCTCTCTCTCTCTCTCTCTCTCTCTCTCCGTGTAGGTGTGTGTGTGTGTCTGTGTGTGTGGAGGTTCTTAGTGAATATATGTACCTTTTAGATGGGAAGTGGGTTGTTTAGTTGAAAGTCTTTTCGTGTATCAAACCTAACTTATTAGTTTTCATATCGCATGTCTCGATAAATAAATAAAACACTAATTAGATTAAAATACACCAAGTATAGTAGTTGACAAAATCAATTAATGCGATATATAATTATCTTTTGAATAAAAAAATTAATTCCCCTTGCTTTTTATATAAACATGTGCCAACCTTCACGTACGTTTTAAGTACGTTCGGCTATGAATAGTGTTAATATGATTGAATCGACGAAATTATTACTGGCAAATGTCTGCGCGCATTATTATGCCGGTAGTTGATCCACTGAGCTACTTCTAACATTGACTGAAAAGGACATTACACGCACCGTAGAATATATATGCCATCCGCGTGGGTTGGCTGACTCGGCGTAGTTATTACGGTGCAGCACTGGTGTAGCTCGGACGTATTGTTATATATTAAGCCACATTCAGGTGTGCAAACAACACTCGTGTCCTTGGAGTTGCGCACTGTGTTGAGGGCTGGGGGTCACCATTTTCGGAATTGGAGCTGTGATGTGAGAGGTTAAGCGTTAAAGAAGGGAGGGATCCATCCAGGCGCTAGGAGTCTGCATATTAAAAAGAGATAGAGAGAGATAGATACCAGATTGGCTGCAGATGGTTCACGGTTGGTGGCCAGGTAGAGCGACGGCCAAATCATTAGTGGACGGACACTAGAAGGACCATGCCTTGACCAAGTTGATGATGACCTATCTGTCTCAACATCTCCTTTATACTGACTATATAGCACAACATACGTAGGTGATATTCTACACTGGACTGGTAGATGAAAGTTGGCCTCCGCATTCATTTTGTAGCAACGCTATATAACAACGTCTTTGGTTTACCTACTCCCAGCATCTCCTACAAGTTGGAGCTATATGAGAAATACTAAATGGGACGGGCTGACTTAACCCGTATAATATGAAATCAAACGGAACTTTGCTTCGAATTCAGTAGAGTGTTTTCTTGAAGATTTGATACTTGTATACAGTACCTACTGTATCCCTACTACACAGAGGAGCTGTACCGTAACGATAAAACGGGGGGATCAACAGGTCGGTCAGGTGCTACATGACAGCGTCTGGCGTGGTGATTACTTGTAAGCATTGGCACTGATGGCCTTAGCCTGATCGCACCCAATCGTAAGCTAAAAAAATTTTGAACTTCACCAAACGGGTCTGCCTCCCCTTGTCACGACGTGCACATGCAATAAACATAGTGACATAATTTTTGCATAAATAGTGCCTGCAAAAATTACTAAAAGCGAGATCGCTGTATTCATGCTAGAGATCCTGGACGCCAGAGACTGCAGAGTAATAGGCCTGGAAATTAACCAAACTTAAAGTGAAAGGTTGCTCTGGCAACGAGAGTTAACTGCAGGTAGCACCTGCATTGTAGGCGTACTGTAGGCAGTTTATATGACAACGAGTTAGTTCCTTCAATATCGTAGCTTATGCAGCAGCTACTGATCTCTGTAGTATATTGTATTAATGTCTAAGTGCCATATCATATATGTTTGGTGCATATCGACTGTGTGTAATATGCAATGTTAGCCACCTAGGACGATTCCACTCATGATAGATGGGACGCGGATTTAACTGAATAGGCGCTTCCGTTGCGGATCAGCTCATATTTTTTTTATATTTCATATACATTGATTTATTTATTTATCGCACTTTATGATCAGTTACCCGTAAAATAAACTGCCGCAAAATGTCTGAACACGAGACCAAGACTGCCAAACCCCCGGATGCGACTCCGGCTTTTGACGATTCGGATTCCGATGTGTATTCAGACGCCTCCCCAGGACCAAATCCGGATCAAGATCTGGATCCTGAACCGAGTCCAGGCGAAAAGCCAATCCCGGCCGACTATTACAAAGTGCAAAATCCGGATGCGCCGCCGGATCATGGGGACCACAGTGCAGGTGAAGAAGGACCGGATCCGGATTTGGATCCCCCTCTCCCGCCTCCTGTAGCATGGTCAAGGTCTTTTGACGATGTTTTCTCCTTTGTGGGAGGACTGGGCAGATACCAGCTACGAGTTCTATTTCTTCTGTGGCCGGCTGGATTGCTGATAGTGCTCTCTCTGGACAATATCGTTTTCTTGGAGCTCACGCCAAAACACAGGTGGGTTGATGATAGCTAGATGTGTGAATGTTTTTAGTTTTTAGGGTGACGGCAGCTCAAAGTGCCTTATTTTTCTTCAACCACTTGCTAGAATACTGTATGCGGAATTTTTGGTCAATTACATGCATCTTTTTTCTTTATCTTTTAAGACGATCTGGGCTTTTATTCCAAATACAGACATCTTCTTAAGATAAAACATGTTATATCCCTTCTCGAAAGTCACATATGTGGGCGAAATAACAATATAATTGCATGGGACTTATCACTCGGCTGAAACCAAGTGCAGGGAAATATTCTTTAAGACGCGTACGTGAATTCATAAGTAGATTAGTAAAGAATAGAAAATAATTTTATTTGTCACCAGTTACCACTCTAAGAACTCTGTTAGAATCCTTTTATAGTATTCTGATTTTTTCGTGTATAGAAATTTGAATTCTTCAATAATTTATCCATTCTCTTTGCAGTTAATGAGTTTTGTACGTGTTTACTAAACTGGTGGTATTATGGCATACAGTGTATAAAGATAGAGAGAATAGTTTCAGTGATCTCGTATTCTGGTCATTTTATACGCATCTCATACACGAGGTTTGTGGTTGACCACAGTTAGCCTATAAGATACTCCCTGGATTTCGCTGCCTTTTTTTCGCCAACTTCACTCTATAACATGTTTTTGATAGAATGAAACAAAAGTAAATAAGGTAAACTGTATACAATATAGAGCATTTAGGTATAACTGGAGAGCCGTCTATTTTTGTTATTCAGATGCCGTCTGCCCGGTTTGCCCAATGACACATATGCCATCCAAGGCCCATGGCACGAGGCGCTCGTGAAGAAGACCATCCCAGTGACCTCTAGTGGCGAGTACGACAGTTGCAATATGAATCTGGAAGGTGACGGTGTAGTGGCGTGTAACAACTGGGTTTATGACGAGGCTTTTTTCACACAGACCTATACTACAAGGGTATGTATTCAAACTCGTTCAACCCTCCCCTGCACAGTGTTTTGGTCACGATAATGGACTACGTTTTTTTTCTCTTTTAAGGTGAAACATTGCGCGCAAAGGAGTAAAGTAAACAAACTATCAAACATACAAACAAACAAAAATGTGTAGGTTGTTTCACATGACCTTTAACTTTTCTGTAGGTTTTGAAGAACCAACCAAAAAGTGATGTCATAGACGGATGAACATTCCATTGTCACGCTCATAAAAAAATAATTATTCAATTTATTATAAACACATAATCCTTGAATAAACTTTAAGTATGCCCAAATTCCTTGAATAAACTTTGAATATTCCCTATTTCTTCAGTTCAACTTGGTACGTGCCCAAGACTACATCGTGTCCCTAACAACGATGACGTTTTTCCTGGGAGCATTCTGTGGTTCCATACTGTCTGGGTACTTGGCTGACAGGTGAGACTGAGATAGAGTCTCTCTCTCTGTCTCTCTCTCTCTCTCTCTCTTTCTCTCTGCGTGTGTGTGTGTGTGTGTGTGTGTGTGTGAGAGAGAGAGAGACAGAAGAAACTGTGTCCGTCATAACACAGAACTATATATTTATATTTCCTTAATAACACAATAATTATAATCCCAACATATTTTATCAAATCGTCATTAAGAAAAATTACATCTTATTAAATGTAATTTCATTCAAATGTCTTTACTGCTTAAATTTCAGATTTGGCAGGAAACCAGTCCTGATGGCAAACATACTGATATTTGGAATCGTCGGTTTTACCTCAGTGTTCATACCTTCGTGGGAGTGGTATATAGGAATTCGCTTTATCTTAGGGGCAGTTACCATGGGGACTGTTCCAGAAACATTAGGTAAACGCTTTGGCTTACACACACGTGACAGGTGACGAAATGGATTTCTAAAAAATTAACACAAAATCTATTAACTTAAAAGGTGATATTTGCTGTAGTTTTTGGCAGTCCAAAGTAAATATCTACATATAACATATTGATTGTTTGGACGTTTGTCTTATTGATTGTCAGGTCAGTATTCAGGGGAGGGTTGGGGGGGTTCGAAAGAACCGCCCCTTTTGTTAGGAAAAGGTCCACTCTGAGTAAAATTTGATCTAGGTACATGAAGTTTTTTTTGGAAAAGGTCCACTTTTTCAGAAAAAGAACCCCCCTTTTGAAATTGCTGGCTACGGACCTGATTGTAGGCCTACTGTCTTTTATTTGTTTCAGCACTCGAACTCGTAAGCCCCGCTAAACGGATGCTGGTTGGGAGTCTCATGCACGTGTTTTTCATCTTTGGTGGCCCCCTACTGGCGGGTCTCGCCGCCATCACAAGAAACTGGCAATATTTAGAAATTGTCTGTGCTGCACCGGCGTTCCTTATCCTATGGTTATTTTGGTATGTTGTGTTTAATTAATCTCACGAATAAATATGTGAATGTAATGGAACGTTTTAGATTAAATCAAACGTTTTATTTTGACCAAAAAAAGGACATTTGTCTATTAACAAAATAATTAGTTTGGCTTATTTTTATTTGTCTTCCATTCTTCTTTTCTAAAAGTTGAGAGTTGATAGAATATTTTTAGAACTGGCATTCAAGATATTGAGTTTCATTTTAAGCTATATTCCCGAGTCTCCCCGATGGCTTCTCACTGCGGGGCGGCGCCAAGAGGCTGACCGAATATTACGTCACATGGCGCGTGTCAATAGCCGAGCTGTCAGCGAGAAGATCCTTGAAGAGGTGGAGGCGAGCGCTGAGACTAAGGGTGGAGGAGCATTCCCGTGGAAGGAAATGAGACAGTCTCCAAAACTACTGCAGTATCTTGCGGTGATAGGTGTTATATGGTAGGCTCCTAATATAGTCGGTTTTTGTTTCATTATTTAATGAGTTGCTTAAACAATTGAAAGGATTTGAGACTAAAAACTGGAAACGGGCATGAATGCATAGAAATGCGCTTCACTTACAAAAAAAAAAAAATAATAATAATAAATAAAAATAAAAATAAATTAATAAATAAATTGATAAATAAATAAAATAAATAAATTAATAAATAAATAAATATATATATATATATATATATATATATATATATATATAACTTACGCCTTTCTAACCCATGCTTTTCCCCTCCAGGTTACTGCTAAACCTTGTCCACTATGGCCTGATCTTCAACTTGGTGAACATTCCGGGCAACATATTCTTGAATTTCTTCCTGTACACCCTTTTGGACATCCCGGGCTTCGCCATGGCGTTTACTGTGAACCTGTACGGCAGAGAGACGCCGTTCGTGGGCTTAACTCTCGTCGGTGGCATGGTTTTACTTACCTGTGTCTTTGTAGATTTGTTCGTGCCAAGTGAGTGTGATTTCTTTCCTTTTTTTTTTTTGGCTTGACCGTCAGTCTGTAAAACTCCCGGTGATACGAAACTTGGAATAGTATGACTGGCAGTCGAGCGGCACGTTTACACTATGTAATAGGTTTTTTTTCGATCCCAGAAGACGACGATATGATTGCTGATGTTATTTTGTTATTATAAATAAAATAAGCGATTCGCAGCAGTTTATTTTTAGGATTTTGGTCATTCATTTATTGATTTATAAACTAAAATTTTGCAGATGCATGACAGCATATTGTCTAACAACTTGATAATTAGAAGAACATTTTACATCTTTCAGTGATAACTTTTTTTCATAATTATTCCAGGTAACATTTCCATGTATTTAATTATTGGATTATCATCGGGTGCCAGACTCTCTGTATCCGCCGCCTACACCATTATAGCGCTATGGAGTGAAGAGATCTTCCCTACCGTTATACGGAACTTCTGTATGGGACTAGTTAGCTTTGCTGCCAGTATTGGAGCTATGGCGGCGCCATTTATATCGGTGAGTGTGTGCTTAAGTGCGTGTGTGTGGGTGTACGTGTTGCACGTTTGCGTGCGTGGTGGTATGGTGAAGAGGGGGGGGGGGGTATTTATAAATGCATGAGTATTTGCGGCGTGTCCGCGTATCGGGTGTGCATAAAAAAGTCCATAAATCTGGCTATTAGAGCATCCCTCGATCTTTAAAATGGGACCTTTTGGTTTACGTTTTGAAAAAAAAAAAAAAAAAACATAATCGTCATCTCCACGTAAAATATTGGCACAAGAAATTATTTTGTTTCCAGCGGGGTGTGTTCTCAAAGGCTCTGGCTAACGGCTCCATGGTGTTGGGTCTATATGGGACCGGGATGATTGTAGCTGGGATACTGGCCACATTATTCCTCCCAGAGACAGCCTACAGGAAACTACCCGATACTATAAAAGAGGCAGAAAACTTGTACGTATTGCAACTGTTTCTTTTTTGTGTTTAATAAAAATGCTTAGTTTGGTTATTTTTTTTACCATCATGAATGATGCTGGTCTGCAAACAATTGAGATCCTTTCAATAGGCCCTAACGAGAGAGAAAGACTGTGGTCTAAACACGTTACTGCTGCTGCCGTTCCGCCCAAGGGCAAAGGATGATGGTGACGATGATTACGTTTTTAGAGTAAGATGACTTATGTCATACATTGGCTGGATAATTACTGCTTTTAATTATTATTTCTTCCTTTTTTCATTCACCCTCACCCTCTCTTAATGACCGTGTTACTCCTTTTCACTATTTTTCTTTCATTTTTGTTAGACTCATAATATATACAGTGTATTTTGAAATATATTTTCAATTTGAAGCGACACTTTACTTAGATGCTGTTCTCGAATTTTAAAATGCAAATAGGGGTTTACTCTCAGGTCTACTGTGCAATTTAGGACTTTCTTTAAAGGCATCTTTAAAAGACATGCAAAAACAGTTGGCCGTTTTGATTCGCACACTTTTGTATTGTTTTAGCGGCTTGTACTCTTCGCCGGCCGAAAACGACGAGAAGATGTTAGACGCGGAGGATGAAGATGAAAAACAACCAGTGGTACCTAGAAGGAAGAGATCCTTTATAGAGATGAAAGAATCGAACACGAAGAATTACAATACTATAGCATCATATCCGCAACCCAGTGCCAAGAACCTGGATGGCTGAAAAAGGGACTCTTTCTTGAATATACATGTACTTATTTTGATGTTACTTTTAACAAAGGGTGGTTATTCCTTTTATGCGTAGTGTGAATTATGTGGAAGCGTTTTTTTTCACTACTTCAAACATCTTAAATTTAAATATTTGTGACCAAGAACAGCCAAATCAGCAACAATCTTATTCTTTTTGATAGAGAATTTCATGAGTTGGCTATAAATGTTGCATGGTTTAATTTCTTTTCAACAGTAGAAATGTTGAATACGAAACCGTTGGTTGTTCGGGGCTTCGAAAACCAGCGACAAAAGTGAAATATAAAGTGCAATACCAAACTAGTTGATATTTATTCCAGGCATTGGGAGCGAATTATTGGCGTAAAATTCTCCGTGACAACGAATATCGACGTTACACTGTACATGTACCTTTCGCCCCTCGCTCAAAACTCTGTATCCTAATGCTCTTTTATGACTTCGTTCAGATCGATTGCAATTCATTTAACTTCCCTCGAAATAAAGAGCATGTTGGATCCGACTCACAAAGTTGCATTTTTCATTAAACACGGGCGAAAATTCAAAGCTCGTTTCCCCATCAAATTCAATAGAGGTCCATGACAATATACCTTAAAGTGATATACACCGTCACTTATAAGAAAAAAAACAATTTATATTGGAATGTAGAAGCCTGTGTATTTTGCCTTAAATAAAATTGTTGCACAATGAGTTAGTCTGCCAAGTTCACATGAGATCAAATATGGAAATATTTAAAATTGAAAAAGGTGCCTACTATCTCCAAAAGGGTACCAAAATGGGAAACTAAACCTTGAACTCCAGCATATGACAGAGTTGAACTATTATGCTAAAAACAAACGATAAAATCTTAAAACTGCAGACCACAATTCTCACAGGCGTGCTTCTTTCAAGCAGTAAAACGCCAATAACATCGAGGCCACTTCAAATATCCTTTTTTTGAAATGATTATACCATGAAGAGCAATTAGCTTGCGGTTGGTTGTACATGCCACTTACTATTATTTGAAAAATATTTTCCAGTAATAACTCTTAAAAATTATTTAAATAATTCACAAAAGCTTTTATACAATGGGTAATCACGAAAATCATACGGCCAACAAATGTACATACATTACTCTATTCTCTTAAAAAAAGTGGACTTACTGCGATAAAGAAAGATGTAATATCAAAAACAATTATTCTTTCTATAACCATATAAAAAGTCGCCATCTGGTTTTCATTAACACAATATTTCACAAAATCTGCGTCCCTTTCTTTGGGATATCGTAATTACATTTTTCATACAATAAAAACACAAAGAAAACAAGAAAATATACTATTGACCATTACCAAAGAAGCACCAAGCAACTTACACGTTCACAACGACAGCACCAATATTTCTGACAACAAAATCTCCTATATACTCAAACACAAATAACAACATTAGCATTGTTTTTACGCATCACACTCTGCTCTTTTTACACAATCCTTGTAAAAATATTATTTTACTGTCCCTATTCACAGACACTCACTAAAATCAGATTGAGTTATGAGATAGTAATTAAGTTTACCACTGAAAGATCAGGGAATTATACCTATGATATAATTCCCTGGAAACATACCCAAGTCTAGTTGAAACTATAATTTACAAAAGCACAAGTAGCCTGCTGGCTTCCCATTCCTTGCCAAACTATTTGTTAATTTTTTCAAAGAAGATTCAATTTTCTGGCATATTTATCAATATTTTTACCTTTCCCTAATATAATTTTATTGTAAGTTATTAAAACATATATTGCACCCTTACCTAGTAGTGTTGTTAATGTTTGTATAAACTTTAAAAAAAAAAAAAAGGATAAGAAAGATTATCAAAATTTAAACTATTTTGGTTTCAACCACAAAGTCCCCTAAAACTTAAAATGATAGCCAGAACTTAATGCCTAATTCTAAATTATGTGTCTATTGGGTCAAGTGATATTGGGATGTTTTAATCCATACTCTTAAGGTAAATGCACAAAGAAATGAAAAAAATATAGGAAATAAAAACATGCAAACAATTAATGAGCAAATGAAGGGTAAACTGACTGGCGACCTCACTGCAATATAGGACGCAATATACGTTCTAGCTACAATTAATGAAAACCAGAAAAAATAAGTTTCCCATAATGAAGCAGTGGCAACATCTCGAATGGAATGCGTTTGGTGTGAAAAACACTGCATAATACATTGCACTAGAAGTGACAGACATTCTGTCAAGCTAAACTGCATATATTCAAGATCTTATTTTTAAGTCAAAACTTTAAACCAAAAACAACATTTCTGAAGACCAGCTTCATAATCTACCAGTGGCCTTACATTTAGCACCACAGCAAATAACCTACTAAAGCCAAAGACCACTCACACTCAAGGGACATGACCTTTATATTTAAATGACTATAAAAACCTAGCATAAAAATTTCTTGGATGCATAGCACCTTTCCTCAAAACTGCGATCATGTTTTCTTCATTTTTCTCCTCATTTGTTCTTCAATGTTATGAAATTTTATCACTTACAATTTTACTGCATACAATTGTTCTTGAAATCGCAGTGTTTTCTAATAGAGACCTGCTACCATATCCATTTTATTGTGGTAGAGATAACTCCAGTAAAATTTAATAAAAATCTAATTTCCCTGTAAAAGAAGACAAGAGATTTTTTGCTGAGGAATGGACAAATAAGGAGTTTATATTTCATAATCTGCGCGAATTCTTCATCCTCAAAAGGATAAAAAATGTGTGCAAACAATCTGTGCGTCAATTATATGTGGTAATCAAAATTCACCGGTGTCTATAAATACCCACATGTCATTATGAGAACAAAACTTCATGTTTCACTAGGGAGCCCGTATCTTCACTTTTTAGGGCTTTCCTTTTGGTCTGACTGTGGTATGAGACGCCCGCAGTATGTTCCGTGCCTTGGATTTTTTTGTCTGTGTCATTAGGTACCAAAGACATTGTGATGGATTCGAGTTTCTTCTCCAACTCTGGTATGTCTCCCAGCTCAGCGGGAGTGGGAAATCTAGAACTGAAACGAAAAAATTCGGGTCAATAGTGAGTTGTGAAAATGCAACATAATCTGATTGTAAAAAAATTTTCTGTTCCATAAAATCAAGATAAAACAAACATTTTAAGATAACTACTTTCGATAATAATAAATTGATTCAAGATGCAGACATTTTCCATGCATACTTCATATTTACGTAAAAAAGGAAACTGTGAAAAGCATGCTTAGTATGTCTTAACAACTTCCAAAACCCATTCACATTTTACTGAAACCATTCATTTGTGCAGGCGAAATACTATGTGGTCTAATAAACATGACATCATAGTAATACAGAAGTTACCTGCCCAGCAATAGACCACCAGACTAAAAAAGATGTTATATTATACAAACAGCTACACCAAATAAAGCTAAATTGACCAATGGTGCATTGGCAACTTTTACAATTACCAGGAAGTTGCTATTAGGCCATTTTTCATGTCTTACTTGTCTTTGGTTGCTTTCGTGTCACACTCCTCCTGGTCCACCTCAGTGCACGAATTCCTGTCGCACTCTGCTAACGACAACATGCTCTCACGCATCGATGTAGGGGAAACTGTGCGGCGCCTGTTCTTTTCTCTTTCACGGCTGAAAGCATGAATGAGAGTTGTACATAGCATTCTGACAAAGGATCAGCTTATTTTTATTCCATACAACCAGATGAAAATTTTCAAAATTATGTGATATTTCAAGGCAGTTATGAGACATGATATTGAGTGTGTTTATTATTATAGAAATATGGCTTACTGTGTAATACCTCTCACAGTCAAGCATATCATTTTATATCAAATCTGTTTCCTATTCGATATTCAACAAGTCTTAAAGCTAACTCATCATATCAAATTATTTAAAGTAAACATCCAAGAGATACCTTATCAGATCTAATAAATTATCCCAGTGGGAAATTATGCCAATACTATTACAAGTGGAAGATAGTGGAAGGAGTGCTTTATGTAGAGGCAGGCTTGTAGCCAGCAAATTCAAGGGGGAGGGGTGTCATTTTCTTTTCCTGAAAAAGTAAATCTCTTTTACTATAAAATCTATGCATATTCATAGAACCTACATCAAACTTCATTTCACAATGACCTTTTCCCCAACTAACAGCGTTTTCGTTTAAAACCCCTGACCCGCACCCACTCGCCTAAAGACCTGACAGGTTAGATGCCTGATGTTTTATAATAGCCATCTATTACTGGTGTATCAAAACCAATACTTGAGTATCATATATATGTCATGGTATATAAATTTGTCATAAAGTCAAACATGCAAACTTATTTTAAAATTATTAAATAGTAGAGTTGGGATTTTGAAGGCCTTTTAGTGTTGAAGGCTCAGTGCTCAGATAAGACAGATCTAGACATATCCCAGTAAACATGGTAAAACTGCAAAAAATAAATAAATAAATAAATAAATAAATAAATAAATAAATAAATAAATAAATAAATAAAATAAAATAATTATAATAACAATGCAATGTGTGTTCATACATGCATTTTGTCAAAGATTGTGCAACAAAAGCATCTGTAAGTTTGCCAATTAACTTCACAGTTAGTGTAGAATCAGAACTACGTAATACAGCAGTAAAGTAAAATTGACGACTGAATTGAAAAGTCTGTGCCATCAATGCTGGCTCTAGCCAAAGTGCCCAGGAAAATTGAAACCTGGCCTTTTAATTTCGTTTAATTGTTCTGTTACTGTCCACAACTTCTTCTTAGAGTCAGGAAAGGCGTAGACTCTAGTCTCTAGACTCTCAGTCTCTAGAACTAAAATGGTAACCCCACTTCCAATCTAGAACAGTCCTCTCATGAAGTTAAAGATTATTTACAAGAAATCTGAATTAATCGCTCAGGTTATCACAGAGAAGATGATAGCCCCAACCAGGCCATCAAGGTAGGTATGGCATTAAGACTCCCTTATCACATTTTCAGGCACAAGTACCACCTTGTAGAAGCTCCTCAATCCAGGCACCACTGGTGCTCAACCTCAGCTTACAATTACTGATCTATGGTAACATTGAGCGAAAAAAATAAAATAAAATAAAATAAAGTAAATCATAATTCCCAAGTCCATTTAAAATAACTAACTAAATTTATAAATAAATGATTAATCCATTATGTGTACTTCATTTCATTCGTAATTTCTGGATTGGATGACTGGAAAATTTTTGAATGTCAAGTATTTGCGCTTTGTCAGAACTTTTACATTACACCTTAAAATGCCAATGTGTATGGGGTGATTTCAATGTTTGAAATTTGTTACTAAATAAATAAAAACATGATTATCAGACCTAATCAAGAAACTCTTGTCTTCCAGGTATATCTAATCATATGTTAACTATGGCTGAACTATGAAGTCAAATATTAGACGATTCCAAGTAAGTGTCCTGGATTCTTCTATTAGTCTTTCATATTACTCAAGGCAATTAATAAGCGAAAAATCAATAAGAAAAGAAGATAACTGTGTATGATAAAAACTATATAAGCCCTGCACCATTTGATGGAAAAAGGAAAAATAAAAAATGGATGTTATTATGTGTTCTGTGGCCTGGAATTTGTTAAACCTTCCTACAGTGGCAATGCATTCTACGTAAATATGGGCCACACATATATGCTTTTTCTTTTCCAAATAACTTTTGTTAATAACTTCAGTAGTAATATATTCTGCACTTTATACAAGCATTTTAATGGTTAACTTAACTGGTGTAATTAAGCTAATTGTACAAGGTGTAAGAGAGGCAGATAAATGAAAAAAAATTGAACATTTAGGGATCAGGTCCATTGCCCAGTGACGAGGAAAACTACCCCCTCCAAGGCTAAGGGGGTCAAAACCTCACCCCTTGGGGCAGCTTTATCTGTGACACAAATATGGGGAGAATTTTAGACAAGACACGAGGCTCTTCTGCTTCAACCTAGCTAGCTATAGCCTTGGATATGGTATGGAGACACTCTTCAGTCTATTATTTTAACAGTACAATTCCATCCTATAATCCTCTCCTACCACATGGAATAGCTATAGGTCCTCATTTCCGAGTCTAAATTCATCATTAATTGGCACTTCCTATATTACATGAAACGGCATGAGCTATTAAGGCTTTCTAGTCCGACTTCAGGTTACATGATAATATACTTCAGAATTCTAGAAACAAAGACATCATTCAACTATGAATCATAGACATCGGTGTATTTTACACGACATCTAGGCATTAAATATCAGTATCAGCAGACAAAGATGCAGGTTAAACTGAAATAGTCATGTTTAACTTCACATCAGGATAAATTATGCACTGTTGAAGAAGAGTTTCAACCTTATATTTGAATTTACATGTATGTATATTATAATTAAATGTAACCAAGCTCATCTCTGATTTTAGACCGAAGTCAGTGATAAATTCAGCTAATTTATAAAGCTGAGATATTAAAAGTGCAATAAAGTGATGGTTAAACAAGCCAGTGCATGCGCATGTACAAGTACATGTTAATAAGATTAATATAATGGCAATGCATTGGTATCTTCAAGCTTCAAGTGTCAGCATGAAGGCAAAGCTGTTATAATGTCAAAGCTACTTCACAAACACATTTCAAATTGTAACACACGTTTTGCCAGAGAAAAACTATGGTAACAGCCAAGTGTTCAACAAATCAATTCAGGGGCTCCATTGCAATTCATGCATGCTACAATGGATGTTATACACAATGAATAAATTCAAAATTTTTAAAAAGGATGAAGGATTGTACAAGTTGGTGTATCACTTTGCTCTTAGATCACATAGATTTAACTTTTACTCAGTCGAGAACAGCAATTAGTCAAATAACTTTTTGTGACAAGAAACTTGTATATTTTCCTGGTTAATTTTGAAATTAATTAAGTACTGGAATTACTACAATTACTTCTCATAAAGAATCAATTTTTTTATTACTCAAAAGTCTAAATGGGCAAGTGCTCTTGAAATGAACATAATTTGCTTTATTTGATTATTTAAATATTGCTGTGCATTGTGAATCCCTACCTTGATACACACACGTATATATATATATATATGTCATTCTGTGGGCAGGTGATTGGTTTTATTGTATTTCCTCTGGTTAAAGATTTGAAATTAATTAAACCCTGGTACTGGGGCTGCGGAGCTAAATTTTATATTTTGGTTATCACCACATGGTCTATTTAGGAAGGGTGAAGAAAATTTACAACTATGCCTCCTAATAGGCAACATTAAACCCAAGTAAAAGAAAAAGAGATTATTATATTTTTGAAATGCATATTGAATTGAAGAATGAGCAAGCAACAAAGAATATCTGCCAAAAGAGCCACACAGAAAAAACAGAATTCTGTTTAGCTACAACACTAGAGTAGGGTAAAATTTGTGAAGTAAAAAATATTGTTATAAGTTTTCATTAGTTAAAGGAACTAAAGAAAGCAAATGTGTTCTAAGTGCACACAACGTGAAGTGTGATTTTACCATAAAGATATATGATTATTTCAGTGTCAAGAAATAACAAACAGTTCATGGGAAGATTGCGAGCCAGTGAATAGCAAAAGTGACAGGAGAAATAATGCTCTTCCTCTGTCTAAAATAAATAAATAAATAAATAAATAAATTTACATTTCTATGTCACCAATTTTTCTTTTGCCTACATTGTAGATATGGGCAAGAAAAATGTTTCTTTTTCATGTAATAGTCTGCATTCTTTGTAATAAAATCACACACAAGACAGCATCATCATTCTAAAATCACTACTGGTGCAAGTACATATGAATTACCATAAAAAATGGTACAAAAACACTGTAATACACGGGAACAAGCACGCCCCAAACCAGACCAGAAGCAACTCGACAGGCTAGTAAGTTCTGGTTTCAACTAACCGTAATTCCTTTTCAAGGGTTTCGATTTTTGATCGACAAATATCAAGCTCATCGTGCAAAAGATCTATTTCCACGTCTCTCTCCTGCACGTCTTTGTGCAAGTTGTACAATTCATCCTGAATGTTCTCGCACATGGTCTAAAATAACAAAAATGCACACCGGTACAATAACAAAAATAAAAAAAGAAAACTTGGGAGTCCAGTCCATTCGCGAGCATGCTCAAAGCATTAACAGCCACGACTGAGCTAAACATCTGGTTAGCTGTTAACACTTTGAAACACTATGCCATATTAAGTGGTTTGAAATTACAAAACAAGAGAAAAGATGCCATATTGTTGAGTTTTTTCCCCCAATGAAAATTCTCTCTCACTGAATCAGATTGGGTGTGAACGTTCAGCCTTTGTTGCTACAGGGATAAAAACAGTTTCCTTTCAACCTTGAAGAAGTTTAGGTTAAAATAGTTAAAGCAGGGAGTCTTTATAGATGTAATTTTAAACACCCTTTGGTTAAAGCAACACGACATCCCTGAAATCTGAACAACGTGACACCAATTCTCTTGCTCTTCATCTCATCCCACTGCCCCATGTTAAGATCTTTACCATAAAGCCCTCTGCGCTCCCTCCAAATCCTGCCGCGTTAGCTCTAGTTCCTCTCTCAGCAACTCGATCTGACAGTCTTTCGCCTTCAAACTTCGCTGAAGGTTAAAGTTCAAGTCTTCCAAATACTCACAATGTGCCTAAAGGGTTAAACCAGTTGTATTTAGAGGGTTAAAGCTATGATAACAGGCATAAAATAATCTGAAATTTCTGAAATTGAAATAAAGTGGAAAAAAGAAAAAAGAAAAATTATGTCACCATAAACTGCAGCTTCATACATGAAACATAAGGATTCTTGCTGCAACTGAAAAATATCAAGTCATAATTAAACACAAATTTGGTATTTTTTCAGTACTAGGCTGTTAGAAATATGACACTTGTCATAAATATTTTCCTTTTTTTATTTCAATATAAGTCATTTCCTTGTCCCTCCTCATAAGGATTCCCTGTGACTGTGAATCACCTGTCTACATTAAAGAAATACTGCATTAGGCCAGGGTTAACCAAATCTAATATGTATTATGCACATTAACAATTTCCTTTTTAAAACCAGCATTGTCATATGAAAAAACAAATCGCGACACAACATGGCTTAAGGCAATTGTAATTTTCCCTTGATGCTCCTCCCATAAAGATCAGGCTTGAATCATCTGTTTGTATAAAAGAAACATGGAATTAACTTTCAAGTCAGTAGAAGGTGTATTTACACTTTCTTTCTCAATTCCAGTGCCATCACATGAGTAAAATGAATGAATGAATAACAAATGAAAACTTCTGTCATAAAAACGACATACTATAATGAAGAAAATCTGGAAATCATTTGAACTTTTTGGAAATGTAAATGCAGGATCCTACTTAAAATTCTGTATCATGTTTTTTTACCACAAAAAATATACTGAGCAATTTGTTAAACAGAATATACACATATTTTTTAAAAAGTTACAAAAAAGCACTAATAAATTATATATATTAAATACAATTATTGTACACAAAGATATAATAACAAAGCTTTCAATTTCCAATATCTTTTAAATGACCATCATTTCCTCTCATTTCACCTTTTTTCCCTAAATCACATAAAAAAATCCCATTACTTACCCTGCTTTCTTCTAAACTGTCGTGTGGACCAGGGGGGTCATCCATGCAGAAAAATTCTCGCACTGGGGCACTGAAATATGATCACGAGGTTTATAAGCTAAAGCATAATTTGCAATGGTCTAGATATTCCTATGAGAATAACTAAGGGGTAGATCTGAGTATCATAGTCAATAGTATAAAATACTCCACTTTTAGTTGTTTTATTTTCAAGTTCAAATGGTATGGTGCTTTTGAGCAGGTTCACCATTTACTACCTTTTATGGTTTTCTGATCATTAACCAATATTTATATATTTTTTATATTCAAAATTGGTAAATTTACTGAACACAACACAATGTCTGATATAATGCTGATATGGTGTATTAAATCACAAAAGTCACATGGTATTATCATCTGCTGAAATCGGCTTTCTACCAGCATATATGGTTACCGTAATGACTCTATATTTTCCATTGAGGAAAAACTATCAATCTTTCATAATATATCATACATAAGTTTGGAAACAAAAATATATTTCTGTGTAGCATTTGAGGTGCATTTAATGTGTAGAATAAAACTATAAGGTAACAAACTTTTCAGTTTTGTCGCTATCACTCAATAGGAATGTTTCAATTTTATGAATTTCTGACTTGAAAAGGTACAGATTCTGAAAACTTCTCAATTTTCCTCATTGAAAAGATCTGAGTCATTACCGTAGGTAAAACTGGTGAAACTGAACCTGGTTCACACTCGTTTGTTATCTCTGAGGGTTCATATGACAGTAAATTATATAATTTGTTTTTTCATAAGAGAATGGCTGCCATGTATTTTTCAACCTTTCTTTTCTTTATCTCACACCTTGCGTGCTTACCCTATCACACAAGGCTCTTGCTTGTTGCTCAATACAATTTTTATTAATGTATATTCATCAAAAAAATATGGAAAGTATCCAAGTTTTATGCTGATCTATGTATTTATTCATTCATTTATTCTTTGCCAATTTACCACAGATCTTATACAAATTCAATAATGCTTTATTAAGCACTACAATGTTAACAGATACATTTTAAAGGCTTTCTACACTACTAATTTTACATATACTAGTATGCATATAAGAAATACTTAGACAATTAAATAAATAAGACATGAGACCTAGGAGATAATACAGAAAAAAAACAACAACTCAATTTGAAAGACAGTCTAAGAGAAAAATTGCTGAAAATATTCACAAAAANTAACGGTGACTTGTATCCCACGCCATCCTGCGGAGCCGCAGGAGCCGCAGGAGCCGGCGGAGCCGCAGGAGCCGCAGGAGCCGCAGGAGCCGGCGGAGCTGTACGAGACGGGTCGGGACTAAAACCATGAGTACCGCCAGCGTACACGCTGGTGGTACTAATTACAATACTGGTATGACTATGTCTTTCAAAGTTCAACTGTCCATTGCAACACATCTATCATTTATTGGCTTAACTGTCACAGCAGTGTTGACATGCTGTAATTAAGTCTAGACTGATGTCAAATACAGGGCGGCTGGTGCAAGGCGTATTTCGTCTTTGACAGAATATGGATGATTTGCTATAGGCTAGCATCACGTGTTTGCTACATATGCCACAGGGAAAGTACACCAAACTTTCTTAGGTGCATTCTTGTCATGTGTATCTTACTTATTTCATTTAATCACTGATCATAACAAAAGTGGTGGAAAATGTACTGATGAATTTTTAAAACAAGATATCAATTTTTCTCATTTTTCATCCTGAAATAGGATGACAAGTGTGATTTTCAAAAATCACCATCAGTTCTCTCTCTTTCTCTCTCTCTCTCATCCTATTTGAATATGTCTACCAACCTTTGGCTCATTTCTCTGTGTCCAAGAATGTTGTTTATAAAAGCTTGAAGTCCTAGCATTCGATCTTCCAGAAAATTGACATCGTAGTTGTCACGGAACCACCGCTTGGGAGGAAGAGCCAATCGAAATCCAGGGAAGAGTTTGCTCAGCTATGAACAAAAAAATTATATTCAAATTGTCAAATAATATATACAAAAATGAAGTAGTCACATTCAATACCTTATAAAACAATTATACATTGCATATTGCTATCAAACTGTATTCTTTTTATGATACTTATTTTTATACTTGCAAAAGATTTTATTTCAGCAGAACCTTTAAAGTTACGCTAGCCTTAAGATTAATTAGAATGTTGCAACTGTTTGTGGGACATGTACAGTGACAAAAAACTTCTAGAAACAATGAGACAATCAGTCCAGTAGTTAAAAAAGGGGGAAAAAATGCCACAGCAAAGGACTTTTTGCATACATGACTGTTAATGGGTAGCTCTTAAAATTGCTGCCAGTCCCTTGGACTGACTGAACACAATTTTCAATCAGTCCTCAAAAATACTATTGGTCATGTGTACTAAAACTCCAAATCTATATGTGCAAATGTTGCAGATAAAATCTAGGGCAGCATCGCATTGACGGCAGTAAGATTATATATCATCGACTTCATATATTTATCTGAGTATACAAGTTATCTAAGACTGCATTCCCACAGATATTTAGATCTATCTATCCTCCTGGGAAGTCTCATTAGATTGGTGTCAGCTTAACTGACTTAAATGTCTGTCCCGCCTACTAAGAGCTGTAAGGGGGTAATTAACTTAAGTGCACGCTCGGCTGACAGCAATTTAGCGTGAACCCCCAGGGAGTTAGGTCGATCCAGATGGATCGATCTAAATCTATGAGAATGCAGTCTAAGTGTTAATCATAGTTAATGTATTATCAAGAGTAGGATCCAACATAAGATTGTAGTTATACAGTCCCTTGCTTTGTTCCAAGAATTTTGGGCCTACCAGTGAAAATTTTACAAGATGTTTCTAAGCCTTCCTTAATTACACATGGTAGGATGGGGATTTAAATAAAATTGGTATTTGTAGAAAAAGTTCAAGCCTGTATGTGGGCAGAAAGTTTAGGTTTCCAGTAGTTTATTATTATACAAGATATATTCTTGTGTGTGCAAACAGCAAGTTTTGGATGCTAGATCTCATAGAAATAAATTTAATAAACTGTGCCAGGCTGAGCTGATTTAAAAAAAAATTCATTACAATCATATTAGTTTAAGTAGAAAAATTACTCAACACGTTTCTTAGAATCCTCCTTAATAGTACACAATGAATAAATAATCAAATGTGCATCCTTCTTTGTTTTTTTTCATTAATTATTAATTTTTGATTATTTTTCAATCAGACCAATAAACTCATAACTTCCAGAACTAAGTAATTCACAGTCAAACAAAGCAAGCAGGTACATTTCAGATAACAAATTGGTAAAATCTCATCAAAAGCAATAATTGGCTACTAATTATTTTTGAAAGTATTCACTCTCATGACCCCATGCATTGTGTAAGAAGTGGCATTTACCAATGGAGGAAAGACTTAATTTTCCAACTGTCAAAACAAGTTGCTTTACAAGCAGGAAGAGGAGGGTGATTCATGACTGAGCCAGCAGCGTCTGGAACCTGTCTGAAAACCTGACTTTGTTAAGGAAAAGGGATAGGCTGAATATTTCTCACACTGCACTGAATGAACTTGACTAAGTCAGCAGCATCTAGAACCTGTCTGTAAACCTGACTTTGTTGAAAGGAACGGGCAGACATTTTCTTATCATGCACTGAATAAAACAAAATTATCATTGAATTCATTCCCTTTACTGTCAAGACAGTTTGAAACATGAGTGCAAAAACCTCCAAAATAACATCTTTATATATATATATATATATATATATATATATATATATACTGCATAATACTTTAAAAACAGAATGTTTTCCTCATAATTGTCTTTGTATGTACATGTTCTGTAAGACTGTTGACTAAAGACACCAACCATGGACCTTGTTCATATTCTGCTTGCTTATGGGAGGGGGGGGGTCTACTGTTTATTTTTATCATGTAAATATTTTTTTCGAATGAGGAAGCTGCTAGTATCATCATTTTTTCAATCTTAATTCAGTAGTTGCAATGTAAACCATGGCACTCACCTGTCGGTTTATTCTGACAAAGTCTGTGTACCTGCGGAAGACAAACCATGACTCCTCGGGACCTCTTTGAACATGAATTTTATACACCTGACAAAAAAAATCGAAACATTCTACTGCAAGAGGCAATAATATTTTAACAGGCAATGGAAAGGTTTTCTAAGACAGATATAATTTGAAATTGCTTCAAATTGATGATTTGAAATATTTATATTTATCAACTCTGTACAGATCTGCATGGTATGTTCTGTATTGTGATATAATTCACATTGTCTTAGGTTACTGAATATCATTTTTGTTTTGTTTTAATTCAACAGGCAATAAATTTTTTTGCCAAAATGCTGACTTTGTTCAAACTCTGAACAACTATTATACAAACACAAACATAATGAAAAACTGTATACAAATTAACAAACAGAGGCTTACAGTACAAACACATTTCAACTTTATACTTCTGTGAAAAAAATTTTTTTTCTACAAAATTTTAATTTCAATTTTTCAAAGTAACCCAGTTTAAGGGTGTCACAACTGAGTGTCATCCCAAGGCTTGCCCCTACAGTTCAATATAAACATACACTAGACTACTAGTAAGTGTATTGTGCTACTACATTAAAACTGACAAGTGCTGTGTTCTCCTTTTATTAATTAATTTTTTAAAATATATTTATTCAATTACTCATTAATTTGAATATACTTGTAAATAAATACTACTTCTACTACTACACTTTGAGAGTGTAAAACAAAATCAGTCCTTTGTTTAGATTTGGTTCATGGCACAGGGCACCATTTTCTCATTTTTTTTCTCTTTCAGTGTCGTATTTCATGCCCATTGGGGGGGGGGGGGGGGGGGGG